GACCAAATCCAAATCACTAGCCTTGAGTCAGTTTTGGGTTTAATTTATATAGGATTGCAAGCAGGAAGTACAGTGCTAGTAGCAGGTTGTTGATAATTGGTTACAGGAATCAAGTCGTATGTTGTCAGGCAGGTTTGTTTTCTGGCAGGTTAGTCACATGTTTATCACAGGGTGTGAGAAAATAAGAAGGGAGCTGGGGCTGAGCAGATGGTTGAAACTAAGCATGTTCTTGATTTAGTTTATCTTGGCTGGGCAGTCCTTGAAAATAGAATTTGTTTATATATCAGACAGTATTGGCAGTTCTGATGGATGTGGTCAGGCTATCTCAATTGTAGCTGACGTGGTCAGTCAAGGCTAATTGAGTCCAATTGTCTGAGGGTGCTAGGCTGGGTTGAGCAGATCTTGTCTTAACAGACCATCACACTGTTGATTAATTTTTCTGTCACAAGATCTGAACACAAGATAGGCAGGAAATATTGTTGTCTCAGGAACCAATGTGGTATAAAATGGACTTTAGTCAGCATTTGTTAGATTAATTGATACTTCCTTCTGCAGATGGTCCTTGCCTCATTTTTTAATGAACAACTTGAGAGTTTTGGACATAACTCCTAACCTTAATCTTTTTATCTTTACCCCTTAACTCTCCTTTTCTGTCAGTTGCCTGGGGAGATCCTCCTTTGTAAGTAATCAGTTAACTAAAATACAAAGTGGAAGTAAAATGCAGCAAGAATACAGGGAGATAACTATCTTTCAAGAAGTTTAGTGGTGAAAGAAGAGATGTAATACATCATTAGGTTAAAAGAATGTCAAAGTAAGATTGTTTTCAAGGGTAAGGAGAGATAATATTGGTAGTGTGAGGCAAGAAATTAATGAAGAATGCAATTAAGATGGGAACAGAGAAGTAATCACTAATGAGTCAAGAGTACAGATGTCAGAGAAGAGGTAAGTTTCAAAATTGTTTTTCTATTCCATTGATTCTTACAGCATTCAGGGAAGTGAAGTAAGTTTTTTAGCATAAACTACTAAGTAACACAGAGGACAGTTTGTTTTTTTTTTTTTTGTTTTTTTTTTTTTTTAGCCTGTACTGTATTCAGTGAACATTCAGTTTTATGGCAAGAATACCAATTTCTCTTGAGGAATGAACTGACAATTACTGATTTAATTGACACTTCCTGTCACTCTTTCCTTGCAACTAATCCAAAAAATCATTAAAGTAGTTTGTCTTTTTTCCTTTTTGTCTTTAGTGGCTATCAAAATGTATGTTTTATCAAAGTACTTCAGTAGTTCAATCTTTTTAAAATTTTGTATTAAGACTAATTAAGAACCAGGTATCTTGAGATGCATTGAATGCAAAATTTTATCATCTGTGAGATTATCAATTTATACTTCCATGTTTAGTTTCATACAAACCTGAAGAAAACTGTGCTTAATTGTTTGACAATAAAACTAAATTAAAAATCATTAAGAATGTAATTTTGTATTAACCTTTAATAATATTTTATCTGGATTTGTATACTTACCTAAATTACATAAGCAAGTATTCTACATTGCTATAATACCTACTGTGTAACCCACATGCTCTAAGGCATGGAAATCTGGAACAAGTTCAAGAGAGTTTAGTCTTCTTTTCATATGACAATTACATAGAAAAAGGTGGGTAGATATCGTATAGTATAATGATACCTTATAGTTTTAGTTCTTGGAAGTTTAAGGAATTGTTTCTCTTTTACATTTGTGAAAGTTATAACTCTGCTTTTATCTGATACATACATATATATATATATATACACACATATATACACATACACCTTTAATAAGGGTGTGTATATATGTTTTTATGTATGTATGTTTATATACGTGTATGGATAGTCTAGCAAGACATACTGAAAATAATTGATTAAACCATTGTATTTGGTAACTTAATTGTTGGCAACTGTTATCAAATCTACTGTTTCTTATTTTTCTGTTTAATTTTGACTACCCTCTTAAAGCGCTCTTCCCAGATAGTTTTTTTCACTTCGGTTTGTTGTCCTATGTTTGTTTTTGTTTTCTTGTGATGCTAAGCACTGAACACAGGGCATGGTAAACAAGTTCACTACCACTAAGTTATACCCTGAGCCCCAGAGTCTTTTTAAAGTATTTAGTGAAGTAACTTTGTAGTAACTGCAGCTTAACTTTAAAAAGATTCAGCAAAAAATTTAAAAATTAAGTGTAAGTATTGATATGCACACTGTGTGTGTGTGTGTGTGTGTGTGTGTGTGTGTGTGTGTAAGGAGAAAGTGAGATTACTCACTAAAGAACTATGGCAAATGTTAAAAATTGATGACTTTTGGCAAAAAAAAAAAAAATATAGATGCTGACTTCTTAAGTTTTGTGTATGCTGAAAATTTTCAAAGTAAAAAGGTAAAAAGGCCAAAAAAACCCATCACAGTGTGACAGTTGCACTGCATTTGTACCAGTTACCAGCTATCTTTTGTGAAAAACAGTTAACAACAATCTTGTGAATGTAACTGGGTATTTTGGAGCCTTAAACGTATGTACACTGATCTGTTTCATTTTGGCATTATTAGTTGTGAAATCAGAAATTGTAAAAAAAAAAAAAGGCAAAGTAAAACCCATAGCTGATGACACTGCAGAGAAACATAAACTTGCTACTAGTGCTCTCAAAATAGAGAAAATGTTTGGGACAGCAAGCTGGCATTATGTATCAAGAGACCTAAGACTGTTTATACTTTATTTATATATTTACTTATATATTTGTTTTTGTGTTTTTAAGACAGGGTGTCACTATACATTTTATAGGCTGGTCTTGAGCTCAGTTTGTGTCCCAGGCTAGTCTCAAATTGCAAGGATTCTTATGCCTCAGCTTCCTAAATGGTAGAGTTACTGGTGTCTACTACCACACCCAACTTGTTTATACCTTTTAATCTAATAATTTTTCTCCTCCAAATAAAGCCTAAAGGAGCAATTTAGAAAAAAGATTTGAGGATTATGGTTTATTATATATCATTTTCCTGGATATCTGGGTAGAAGAGAAAAACAGCAAAAATTATCCCCCAAATCTACGGAAGTCTGTTTTGAAAAGCAGAATCTTTCTAATATTAAAAATCAATATCCCACTTCTTTGGAGATGTAAATTGCTTTCTAACATTGTTTCCGTTGTGTTGTCTTATTCCTTATTAAATGTAGGTGAGACCCAATTATCTGCCTTTGTCTATCATCCATCTTCTCTTGGTTGATAATTTTAATTGAACGGTTGTTTTCTGCCATTTTTTGTGTGTTGTTGCCTGAAATCTAAAATTCAGTTCCTACTCTTTATAGAGTTTCATTTGTGTTGTTTATACTTTAGCTGCTCACTTTTAATCTTTAGAAAATAATGTTTCACATTCTAACTTTATATCCAAAAAATCTGTATATTTTCCATCATAAAAATATCATTCTGTGATCCATAGTTTCTCTGTCATTCCATCTGGAATTCTTTAGCTTTTAAGTTTTTTCTCTTTTTTTATTCTCTCTTCAAAACCCTGCAGCAGTTTATAGAGTGTGTTTCATCAAACGTATGTGATAACCATAGTTGTTTTTTTTAAAGAATATTTGTAATAGGGCCTAAATTGAACTCGCTGTACTCTCTTCTCTCAAATAAATCTTGTCAGAGAATTCCTGAAGCATAGATCAAACTATACTTTCTAGACTTTAGAGACTAATTATATACAGGTATTCCTCAGTTAACAACCTACCTTTTTAGTGACTGTTTAGACTTACAACCCAGGTACCATTCAGGCTTACACCCTGTTTTGTTTTTGTTTTTGGTACAGTTCTGTACTTTTTATTTATAGAGTCTCAATGTCCCTTTTTTTAAAAAAAAATACAGTACACCTTGCTTAACTTTTGCTGTATACAGCATTGCAGTTTTATGTTCTGTTATGCTTTATAGTACTGCAGTGAAAATTGTGCAAATAAAAACAAAATCATCAAATTAGTGTTTCCTTTGGCTGCTCCTTTCTTCTGAATATTGTATTACTGTATATGTTTCTTCATTTAGTGACCAAGTCACTTACCGACCTAGTCACAGGACAGGAACATAGTTTTTAAACAAGGAATGTCCCTACAAAGAAAAAGTATCTTAAACTACTTCATCCAGTCTTCTGGGCCCTCTGCTATGTAGCTTAACTTTATTTCCTTATTTCAAATTGTTTTCTTCTCGGTTTACACTTCCTCTTTTCTGAGTAATTATAATCTTACCTGAACAATTCCTTGTTTTCCCATATTTTTATCTATTCTTCAAGAGCTGGCTTCAAATTGCCTTACAGCTGGCAATAGTTTCTTCCTGGGAACTCCCAGAGGCCTTTTCTGTTTTGTTATTGTAGTTAGTATCCTTTCCATTACACTGTGGTTATTTATGTGTATGCTACTGGTAGTTACTACCTTAGTTAATTTCTTTAAAATCTGGATTCATGTCTCATTTTACTATTTCCTGTGTTTGTTACCTGGTACATAGATTTTTTCTTAGACATATTTATAAGTAAAAATTATATGTAAAGAACTATTTTGGTTTGAAGGTATTTTTTAGTTGAGAAAAGGAACAAAATTTTAAAGCTATTTTTATTTTAGAAACAAAGATAAGACAGGACATAGAAAAATATACTTTAAAGTAATTTTCTTAAAGTGGTATGAAGTTTGTAAAATATATAAATGAGATCTTAGTTTATTAATCAAACCTAACTTTTAAAGCTATTTAAAAGATAGACTTACCAGTATGTTCATTTAAGCAGTATTTAGATAAGACAAAATAAAGTTTTTCTTAAGTATTTTTACAATATGCAGCTCACAATTTATGTATGTATCATTTACCTCTTGATAAATTAAGTTTTTTTTTTGAATCTTGATCTTAAACATTTCTTAAATGGTTCCCTTTTGCACTTTTGTTGATGATATATTTTATTTTTGTTTTTTCTGTTTGTGCTGGTAAACTTTTATTTAGGAAATGTTTTATTTTGCAGGTGTCCTGGTCGGATATAGGAGGACTGGAGAATATCAAACTGAAATTGAAACAGGCTGTGGAATGGCCCTTGAAACATCCAGAGTCTTTCAGCCGAATGGGTATTCAGCCACCTAAAGGAGTTCTCCTGTATGGACCACCTGGATGCTCTAAAACAATGATAGCCAAGGCCTTGGCCAATGAGAGTGGATTGAATTTTCTATCTATAAAGGTAGAGGGTTAACTTTTTTAATGACTATACTCTTTCTTAGTTTTTCTTCCTTGCCCCCAAGAGCAATTGATTTCATTCATTCATTCATTCATTCATTCATTCATTCATTCATTCTGCTGGGTATTGAACCAAAGTGTACCGAGCTACATTCTCATTTAATCTTTCCTCCCAGTTTAAATTTTTATGTATTTTTGAGACAGGGTCCCTAGGTTTCCCAGACTGACCTCAGACTTGTGATTTTCCTGCCTCAGCCTCTTGTGTAGTTGGGACTACAGGAATGTGTCATTGTGTCTTACCAGAACGGTTGGTTTTTATTTTTTAATGTCAAGTGAATGACAGTAAAGCATGGGGATATGAGAGATGAGTAATAAATTAGTATATGTGGTCACCACATCATAGTGAATTATCTTTTTTTAAGTTTCTCGATTCTGGAAAGACTCTGACATTTTCACAGTGTTAATTACCTTTAAACCCTAAGATAAAGAATTTCAGTAGAAGACTAAACATTTCTTTCTCTAAGTTTATGGAAGAACCCTGGCACTTCCATTGCGTAGTTTTTTTCCCTTAAAAACAAAAATTTAAAAGATATAATATTTGCAGCTTCATTTTTGTTATGTGTGTGTTTTGTGCAGATTACAGAATGTGATATATGGTTAAATTTTAGGTTGTTTGGGACAGTTGCATTGATATTTTCCAGTTGAAATTTCTTTTTTCTCTTTTGCTTTTGTCTGAAGAACTACAATAGATAAATTGCCTTTGAATAGCTGTCAGTGATTTTGAACTGTCAGTGATTCTGGAAGAAGGCAACAAGTACTTTATTAGCGATTTTGATGGGTAAAGGAATATAATTGGTCTAGTGTTATCCTTGACTTTGAAAAATTTTCTCCTATACCGTTTGTCTCAGGAACTCTACAGAAATTTTCCATTTTCATTTTAAGTTATATAAATTGCAGAGCTGCTATGTCGCAGGGATTGCATGAAAAACTACATAGATACCTCCTTTATGTGTGGAATGCTTTTAAAGTTTCTAGGATTAGATATAAGGGTATCGAGATTAAGTGAAATTTTTAAGATTGACATGGTGATGAAGGGACTGAAATTTGGCTCTTAACTACTGTATTATATACACTTATGTTTTCCTTTTATAAATTTTTTATATTTAAAAGAAAACCTAGTATCCAATGTTGATTTTTGTCGATGTCCGCTCCCGGCCGGCAGGAAGGACACACGACAAAGTCTGGCAGTGGACAACCTTTTCTTTTATTTTTCTTCTCCGTACAGCCTGCCCTGGGATCGCTCCCAGCCGAAGCCTCCTTTGGTCCGCTCCCCGCGGCTCCTTCTGGGCTTCTACTTCCGGGCTTCTTCTTCCCCCCCAGGGGTGGCACCAGTATATATACGGATACAGTGTCCAATCATGTTAAAGTAAGCAAGGCAAGCTGATTGGCTAACATCATCAGTTGCCAGGCAGACTATATTGTTGAGCGGGTTGCTTACGCGGTAAGCAGGAAACTAACGTGCTCGATGGGAGGGGTAATCTACCTCAGGCTTTACTCTTTACTATAGGCCTCACGTCCGCCAAGTGAGGCGACCGGGCTCGGGGCTGCGGCTCCCAACATCTCCCCCTTTTTTATTTTTTATGAATGTGCGCATCGTAGCCCTTTCTGGACTGGGTGCAGAGGCTTATGCCCTATGCGTAGGCCCACCGTAGGTCCTTGGCTTAGACCCTGGTCGGCCGTCCCATGGTCTGCCAAGGCCCTGAGGCCCTCGTCCTTTTTCTAGGGCCAGGCACAAACTGGACGGAACCTGGATGCACACAAGCTTGCACTCATTTCCTCTCCGTAAAGAAATCCCCTCGGAGAGAAATTTAGACCTGGGCAGCATCTAACAGTCCAGCGGCTTACGTGCAGGATGGGGTAGGGCCTGGCTTAGGTTGAGTCGCACCGGGGGAGTACGCTCTTACCCGTCATTGACTCTCCTACCCAGCTATGTCATAATTTTTTAGAGGAGGAGTGTGGGAAGCTCACCACCCCTAGACTCGGTCGTAGGCTAGGCGAGCGAGCCATGTATATGTCTGAGGATCTTCTTGTCCATTTTGGGCTACCGCTATTTCTATTCATCTTGTTGGTTGGTCTGTGATGGATCTCCGGTAGGGCAGGTCTGATCTTCAGTCGAGGGCTTTGTCGCCCGTGTCAGTCTCTCCGGTACCCACAGTGGTTCTCGTCCCGATTCCTGTGGGAAAACACAAACCGCGCCTCGGTTCCAGCTGACCACTGGATCCGGGCCCATCCATTGTCCTGTCAGGACATCTTTCCACTTCACCCACCCTTTATGGTTGGGGGAAGGGTTGCAGTGCTCCACGGCTGGGGAGCAATTATCATTATTTAAATTTAAAAAATTGTGTGTGAATAGTGCCATGGATAATCGTGCCTTTGGGGCCAGGCCTTGGCCTACTCCCCCTTTTTGTTTTTGTAAAATTTCTTTGAGGCTTCTATGAGCCCTCTCAATGATTCCTTGACCTTGGGGATTGTATGGGATACCATGTTTTAATTGAACCTCCATCATTTTGCAGAACTCATTGAAGGCTTTGCCTATATAGGCTGGTCCATTATCAGTTTTTAATATTTTTGGTTTGCCCCATGCGGCCCAAGCCGCCAGGCAATGATTGATCACATTAGACACTTTTTCACCTGTTTCTGCTGTTGCGAATATGACGTGAGAACAGGTGTCTGTGGAAACATGAACATATTTAAGAGTCCCAAACTCCTGTATATGTGTGATGTCCATCTGCCAAACATCACCAGGGATCAAACCTCGAGGGTTTACTCCCATCGGTATGGCAGGTTTGTATGTGGCACAGGAGCCACATAGTCGCACGATATCTCGTGCATCTGCTCTGGAAACATGGAAATGGTTTGCTAGTGTCCTGGCATTGACATGAAACTTATCATGGAAGGCACGGGCTCGCTCGATTGGTGTTAGTAAGGTAAAAATCCATAACGGGCGAGTGGCAGTATCAGCAGCTGCATTCCCCTGTGCCATGGGCCCTGGCAGGGATGTATGTGCTCTTATGTGGGTGGTGAAGACCTTATGGTGTCTGTTCTGAAGCAATGTCTGGATAGACAGGAACAGCCCAGCCACTGTGGAAGTGGATCTAATTAAACCGGCAGTCTCAAGCACTTGCATAGCATTGACCACATACCTAGAATCGGAGACAATATTAATGGCTTCTGAGAACCGTTCAAGAATCATTTTAACGATCTGCAGTTCCACCACCTGAGGCTGATCAGGTTCAAATTGTATGGTAACCGGGGGCTTGCCTAGGATCACATAGGCGCCTATCCCCGTCTTGGAGCCATCTGTGTATATTGTAGTTGCTGGGACTAATGGCTCAGAGGCAGTAACCTTTGGAAAAATTATAGGGTGCTGAGTGACAAATGACAAGATAGGGTCTTTAGGGTATTGATTGTTTATATCCCCATGGAAAACACATCTCAGAATGGCCCATGTATCTATGCAGGCAGCCAGGGTCTTGATCTGGCTGGCGGTATAGGGTACTCGGATGGCTTGTGGTCCTGAGCCAAAATGTTGGACAGCTCTATCATGCGCTTCAAGGGCCAATGAAGCAACTGCCTCTGGGTAATGCTCTATGACTTTTGCAGGTGAGACCTTAGGGTGTATCCACAGTAATGGTCCTTTCTGCCAAATCACCGCTGTGGGCTGTAGACTAGTCTGTAGCAAACAGACATCAAAGGGTCGCCCTGGTTCAATTCTGTATAAGGTAGCCCCACCTAAGGCTTTTTCCACTCTCTGTAAGGCAGCTCTTGCCTCAGGAGTGAGCCTCCTGTGGGAGGCTATATCTGGGTCTCCCTTTAGAAGGTCGAACAGGGGTTTGAGATCTGAATTTGGTATATGTAAATATGGCCTAATCCAATTAATGTCTCCCAATAGCTTTTGCATGTCATTTAGGGTCCTAACGCCATCCGTCCTAATGGTGACCTTCTGTATAAGTCTGGAGGCGACACTGAGGTCCACACCTGCTGACCCAGGGGTGGCCCTTGTTGAAGGCTGCCATCCTGAGCTGTCCTGTCTCTGGGGCGGGGGCCCGCCTGTGAAAGGGGCCCCCTCTGGCCGTTTTTTGGCTCTCTAGCATCTTGTCCACAAATACGGTTGCCCTGAGCATCAAAGACCGACCTACACTCCTCAGCTTTGTGTGATCCCTTTTTGCATCGCCCACAAACATATGGTTCTTCATTCCTAGGGCGAGGCCTAGCATCTGCATTGTTTGGGCAATGACGTTTAATGTGTCCTGGCTCCCCGCAGGCAAAACACCCTTTAGCCTTACATTCCCCTTCTAACCCGCGAGGTCCCCTCTGCTGTACAGCCGCGGCCAGGAGAGCAGCCACTCCCGAGTTGGAGAGCGGCCCCCCTATCTCTCTGCATATCCTAATCCAGGCGTTGAGGTCCTTGTTCTTATGAGGAGCTATCGCTGCCTTGCACTCCTTTGTACATTGCTCAAAAATCAGCTGCCTTACCAGCGGTTGAGCCACTCCCGGATCAGAAAATATCTTATCGGCAGCATCTTGCATTCGGGCCACAAAGTCAACAAATGGCTCTGTGGTACCCTGAATTATTTTTGAAAGACACAAGGAGGCTGTTCCGGCACCACTTACCTGTTTCCAGGCGCGGAGCCCTATGGCATTGATTTGTTCATAGACAGCGCCGGGGAACTGGGTCTGGTCATCAGCGTGCCGACCTTCTCCCATAAGCATTTCCTTGTTCCACCCCCGGTTTCCCCGATTGGCGTTTCTCTCAGCCTGCTCTGCAGAGAACTCTGCGTACCAGGCTCGCCAATCCAGGTAACTGCCCGAGGGCAGACACGCCTTTGCCAGCTGAATCCAGTCCGCGGGGGTGAGGGGCCCAGAAGACAGGTTCTCCAGCATGGCAATGGTGTAAGGCGCAGTCGGCCCAAAGGTTGTAACTGCATTTTTAAGTTCTCTAAT